GAAATTTCCTTCAGGTTGCGACCAATTCGGGGTGCGACCAGAGTCACGGAACGAATTAAATTCGTAACCCGAGGTTCCACTGTATATTTGATGAATATAGGATTAAATAGCAAGAAACCTACAATTTTACTTTTCTCAGCTAAATCATTAATTGCTCAGCATTTGAAATATTTGGGTAATTCAGCATTTGAAAAATGGCATAATAAAATTTGGTAGGTAGTTCTACTTGAAAAAGTACCAGATAAGATTCATGTGCTGAAAAGACAGGATGGCAAACTACCATTTTGCAGAATCTGGAGGGACTGCTTCGTAAATAATAATAAGTCATTTTCTGTCCACCCAGAGGGTATGAGGAAATCATAACGTGATCCGTAATGAGACTAGGCAACAATGTTGATGCTAAACTAGTAACATGCCAATCAAAATGTGTGATTGTTTAAACTAAAATTTTAAAAATGGGAACAAAAACCAAAAGAATAAGTTCTTTACTGGGGAATTTAGTGGTGGTGAAAGCAGCTTTCAACCACCACCATGCCAAAAGTCTAGCAAAGCACTGCACAGGCTTTACATTACTGTAGACTGTGGTGGTCATTTCTTGAAAGATAGCTAGGGTAAGACAAATACAGTGAAGGTATTAAGGGTGAGACCAGGAAAAGTTCTTGTCTTCTCAGATACCGATTCCAAAAGAGTCTCTGACTTTACAGCAAACATATGTTTATCAGAAGAGGCAACTGTCATAATATAATTTATCCACCTCCAATCTAGCATCCTCCAGCTATGTTGGACTCAGTATCCATAATCCCAGCCAGAATGGGAGTCTTATATGTAAATCATGGGTGTTGTAATCCAACATTTCTATGGGCACTAAATTGGGAAAAGCTGGCATGTGTCTGCTTTACAAACAATGGACAAGTTCCCAATTATTCTCAAATAGTCATTGATATACATATTAGAAACATGGAGTAATTATTTAAACCATAAATTTCTATTTTAAATAACACAGATCTGTGAAAAATGATAACTGTAGTCTGACACTGCAGATATTTATTATTTCATGGCATATGTAAGGTGGTTTCTTTCTGTATGTCTTGATACTCTAAGACTTCTGATGTTACCAAGTAGGTTTTCTTTGACATGAATGCATACGATCAGTTTCAGTTCGGAATGGCTGTAAAGAATTTCACAGCACCTCTGGGAAACTTGTGGGAATTCCAAAACCATTTAATTTTATTTCTCTTCCAAATGCTGTAACTTAAGAAGGCCGACGACACAGCTGCGTATATTTTCACTCAGAGGGCCTAATACAGTAGAAAAGAGAAGACAGCAGTTTAGATCAGGAAAATATAGTGGGGGGAAGAGTGAGTAGTCCTTCCCAGTGCCATCGTTCCCATGAAGTTTGGAGCTTCCTGCACCTGTTTGTAAGCAAGAGGGCAGGTGTGGCATTTGCCGTCATGCCTCTTTTACCCCCCACCCCCACCCCAGAGATGCTATTGCTTGCTTGTTTGTTTCAAGGGTATGTACCATAAAAGCAAAGTTTTATAAAACTAAACAGTCTCTGCTCAAGTTTATAATCTAAAAACTGAAAGAAAAAGGGAATAAAGGTGCAGACTTTTATTCTGTTATTCAGTTATTCAGTTTTATAACTGAAAGAAAAAGGGAATCAGGTGCTAGGTTTTAATGTTTCGTCATTCTTATAATGGACTGCTCAGAGAAATGCAGGTGACACCATCCTCTATTGATCTTCCTCAAGGAGCTGATGATCTTTGGAGCTCATCTCCCAATGAAGGGAGGCAGCCGTTGCTTGATGGCTGCTTCCTCCTCCTCCTCCTCCTCCTCCTCACAAAACAGTTGTATAATATATTGTGTATATGTGTCTGTGTGCACACATGAATACAGATCTATTTAAGGTTTCCCATCTTATGCTGGTTTTAGCTGCAAGTCAGCTCACATGCTTTGTATGTTTGAGTACCATGTCTTGGCAGATATTGACAAGGGACATATCTGAAGATGCTCTAAGATGTAATGTAATAAAAAAAAAAAAGATGGGGGGAGTGATATATATTCGACACAGGTAAAATATGAGACATTCATTAAATATATCTGGAAAATTTGAATATATAGGTTATATAGAGGGCCCGTTTTTTACTTGTTCATCTGGTTCTTGGCTATTTTCTTCTTTTTGAGATAGGATCCAAAACAGATGGAATTCCTCTGTGTTTGTAATCTATGCTTAGACTTGGAAAACAACCTCTGACTTTAATCTCATTCTGACTTTTAATTCCTGGACAAGTAGCAGAACTGGTTGGAGCCTTTCTATCCATTAACAATTCCCATAAATCATATCAAATGCATTCTAGTTTAGCATGCAACCCACACATTTTTAAAACTTTTGTGATGTACAATATCCTCTTTACTCAGGTCTTGGTCTGTATACTTTGGTTATGGCCTAGCATTTTACTTATTTTAGTACCTGCTGGCTGTTTTAAATTTAATTTCCACAAACCTAAGGTAGGGTGTTTCCAGATAGATGGCTCTAAGTGCTGTTAATTAAAAGGTATTGTGGACCAGTTCAAACTTTTCCTTTCTCTGGAAAAATGTGTCAGTAAAAGAGTTGGGAGAAGATGGGAGAGTCAAAAATAAAAAGGAGGACAATATCGACTGGACTTCTAGAAAAAATCCATTAACAAGGCAGGTTAGGGGAGATATGCAATTAAAACCTAATCTGTAAGCCCCTTTCAAAATTTATCAGTGATAAATTTTAACTATGCCCAACTTAGGGTATTTGGGAAGAACAATCGGGAGGCAATTTGACTTTGCCACCTAGGAGGCTTCCACATAGCCTCATTTCCCCCTCCAACCCTTCCAAACTGTTTTAAATCCAGCTATTTAGTTGTCTTCCCTCCTGTAAATCTGGAATACCGAGAGAACCCAAAAATCAGCACGAGCCAATTGGCATTTCTGCCCACTGATCAGTAGGGGAGCACAAGAAAGATCATTCAGTCAGGGTCTGCTCCTTAACCTTGTATGGGTCCTAAAGGAGCAAAAATCTCCTATTCCCCACTTCACAGCAAAAGGGAAACTGGCTCTCACCCAATATCCATGTTCCTCTTATGGGAACTTAAGGTAAGGGGTGGAACTGAAAAATAAAAATTAAGAAGGAATATCCAGGCTGCCTAGACATAATTTCTTTTCTGTATTTAAAAGCATATCAAGTAGAACAAAAGCATATCAGCAAGTTTTGTGGCAGGGCATTTCATCCAGTAGCTCTAATTTTGGTTGCAGGAGTTATGGGGAGAAGATAGGGAGATAAATGCATAGTTGAGGATCTAGGAATTGGATGGTGACCCTCAGTGGCATGGGGGAAGGAATGAGTGAAGGCTCACTTGAGCCCAGGAGGTGAGCCAGGGAGGATGCAAAGCACCCACAATTCCCATTTAGCAGCAGCATTCCAGCAAATGCTACACATGTATTCCAGTTTCACCTAAACCAGGACACAGCTAGGAATAAGGCAGCACAGCTCTCCAAACAAGCCAATGTCCTGCAATTAGGCAGGTTTGGAGCTGGCTTCCAGTAGGGTCAGAATCGTCATATGGAGGTGCCTTTCATAAACATGAACCCCAGTTTTCTCTTATGAAAATTGCAGAGGAAATTCTGATAGAGACAAAAGATGTCCACCAATTTCACTGTGTGTTTTACTCCCTTCACTGGCATGAGGCTGCTACTAAAAATACCAGCTCCGTGAGGGGTTATTTGGTACTCCTCTGACTAACCCTGTCTTGGCTTGCTTTGACAGCAAATGCTTTATGTGGGCTCACGGGTCGGTGTTGCCCAAGTGAAGCTGCATCAGTGTGAGACTTACGGGACAGCCTGTGCAGAATGTTGCCTGGCACGGGACCCTTATTGTGCCTGGGATGGCCTCACTTGCACCAGATACCAGGAGTCAGGCAAACGTCGCTTTCGCAGGCAAGACATCCAGAATGGGAATCCCATGCACCAGTGCCTGGATCAAAATCTAACAGGTGAAGAAACTTGGGAATATGTGTTTAGGCCAGTGGGGCAGAATGGGGTGGCTTTTGTGGAGGGGGACCTGCCATATCCATATCTTTCAAGAATACTGGAGAGGGTGAACATGGCACCATTAAGATCAGTTATGAATAGGTGAGGTGTCTGCTACATTATCACTAATGCGGCCTCTGTGTTCATGGAAACAGACATTTTCATAGGGACCTGGGTCAAACTTTTGCTTTGGATAGCATCTCTTTTATGGTTTGAAAACATAAACAGAACACCATAATCTTAGCTGGAATACTGGGAAACAGAGAAGACCTTGGAACCTTTGGTATTTTAAATCAACATCTGCAAGCACTCTGGGGATTTTGATTCTGTGCTCAGTTCCTTCTTTGGATGTGAAACAAATATCTCTCTGTACCAAAGATCAAGACTGAGGCTAGGCCAGGCTTTAAACCCATGCCTATCCCACATGCTCAGAAGCAATCCTGGGCCACCATAACCCCCTTTATGGAAATGGGTGCTTTCAGCTGAATGATTGATCTTTGGTAATAGCATTTTTGTGTTTCTGTAGTGGATGACTTTGACAGCATTGAGGAGAAGGTGGTATATGGGACAGAGCACAACAGCACCTTCTTAGAGTGTATCCCTAAGTCACCCCAAGCTGCAGTGCAATGGTTTGTACACAGATCTCCAGAGGAGCTAAGAGATGAGGTGAGGCACTCTTGCTTTATTTTCTTAAGGATATTTTTCTTTAATCCTCTCCCTCTAAGTATATACAAGCATATACTCTCTCATGTAAATATATGAGTCATCTTGGCACATTATTGTTCCTGCCGCTTCTTTAGATTACCACATTTTTTTTCTAGACTGTTTTCTTATACTAGATGTTGGTTATATAGAGCCTTGTGGGGGTCTGGGAGAGCTGTATTTACTAAATTTCAGTCGGTGATACAGCTGTAAAAGCTTAGGAACTCTGCCAAACGTACCTCTCCCCATTCTGTGCAAAAGTTCCCTGTCCATGAATGAAATTGCCTTCTTTTCAGGCTGTAAGTACATATAGAGTTCTTGATTACTGAAGATGGAACCAATAGGAAAAGTCCCCTTGACCTCTTCCAGTCATAAGGCAGAGCTAAACTCTTGCATCTGGTGTAGGGGATCTGCCTTCCCTCTCACTCTTCAATCTGATGAAGGGCTGTTGGGGTTTTTTTTTTTTGCTTCTTGGCTCCATCTGGGCTGGGTAAGAAAAGTGGTTTGCATCCGGACCTTAAAAAAAAGAAAAGTTATCACATAGTTGAGCCTACTAAATATTAGTATTTCCCTCTCTTGTTTTGTACCTCCTCTTCAAGGAGGCAGTAGAATGACTTGGAGCATCTTTTGTCAATAAACTAGTCATGGCCATCATTGCCAGGACAGTGGTCCAAAGAGAAGGAAGTAGAGTTCTTATGGACCCTACTGAATGTAGGATGGATAGAGTGTAGAAAACATGAAACAGCTGCCTTTGGGCATTTGAGCCTTGGAAGTTATTTTTATAGCCCCTGGAGCTCTGATAATTTGGGTATGTGAGTTGTTTAAAATTTTACCAACCGACTCTGAGCTCTTTAAGGAGGCATTCAGTGAGTTTACTAAAACAGCTGAATTGATTGTTGATGCAACCCCAGTTTGCAGACAGCTGTGGTTCAGGCATTGGCAAGTTGACCATCGGTCAAGAGCTACTTTGGCAAGCAAGCCCTCTGTGGGGAGGAAATTGTTTGGGAAGACTATCGGTGTGATGTTGGTGGAGAGTATAGATAAGAAGAGATACTTACCATCTGCAGCAAAGAAGGAAAATGCCGTATACTTAGAAGATGGATTGCCTTTCAGGCTAGAAAGTAATCTTCCAGCTTTTTTCATACTGGAAGAAGCCAAGGAAATAGTCATTGGGGGCCTCAGGACTGTCAACACAAATATTTCAGCAACAGCAGTTGAAGTAAAGGAGACAAGTTGAGGTATAAAGAACTCTAATTCAGAGCATATCTTCTTAGGTGGTGGTGGTGGACATTCTCAAAGAGTTTGGAGAATGGACCTACAGGGATAGATGGGCACTAGAAATGATCAGATGGGGATATGCTTTGGAATTCAGAGCCATACAAAGGACAGGTTTACTCAGTCGCTTACTTCCAAAGAAGTGGAAAGGCATTTTAGGATGTAGGAAGTAATAGGCCATCTTCAAAACATACAGGTGATAAACTGATTCCCAAATCTGGAAAGGTTTGCTGTACTGTTCTCAGTTGCATTCATGTTCCCAAATAGAATGGGACTTGAAAGAAAGCCATTTTAAATCTAAAGCTACTGAACAACTTTTTCAGGACTTCAATTTCACTGGCCTTTCAGATTATTCCCACTCAGGTTGGTTTTCAATTTGTCATGGTGGGTTTCTATAGATTTACTGTTGTACAATAATCATGATTCCATATGAATATGCAAACTTGTATTGTCTAGGTTCTTTTTATGTTCAATAAAGATTGTGCAATTCTGTTAAGCAATTGGCCAAGGATCAATTGAGGTGGGTTGAGAGTGGGGTTCCTTTTCTGTCTGTCTGCTGGTAACCAGAATGGCACCTCATAGCAGGTCCAAGTGTTATTCTCTGCTGACATGCTATCTTGATGTTCAAGTCCATTGAATTCAAGTATTCAATGAGTTCTATTAAACTCCTAGTAAAGATACTTTGTAATCCATTGTTCGAATATTCAAAAATAATCTTGTCCTAAATTCCTAGGTAAATAAGAAAACAGTTGTCCTTCAGATTTTACTCTTTGAATTTTGTGGTGCACTTCTCAGCTAGGAAATGTTTTATGATAAATTTAGGGGTACACTTTTTAGGGCAATAATATATCTAGGAAAGTGTACTTTGATGGAAAATACTTTCAGAATAATTGTTTAAAATTTTATTCATATATTATTTTTCCCTGCAAATTCTTAAAAAAATTATACACAAAAATGCAGGTGAAAGATGGAGTGAACTTATGAAATATATAAAATTTTTAATAAAACAGACTGAACTATCCAACAAGGTTTGATAATACTGAATCATAGCACATGACATATTAACCCCCCCATCACTATTAAATCCAGAATTCTATATTTTTATTCATTTGTGCTCAAAGCATAGAACATAAATTTATATTCTTTCTGTGCAAATGATAGTTCATCCTTTATAGAAGAAATTAACAATTCAAGAGGTAAAGAGTTGCACCGTGCCTCCAATGAATTAATTTTGAAGCAGGTCACTGGAATAGGTGAAGGTCAGTGGCAGAATATAGAGAATGTGGCACAACCCCACCTGTCCCTACCATGGTTCCTTTAACCTCCATGTCTGATTTCAATGGTTGGAATACATATATATTAGGGAGTGGTTCTCAATAAATTCTGTAATTTTCATTGTTGCTCCTGTGTGTTGAACAGTGTGGCAATTTGGAGGACATTTTCCCTCAAATTAATTTTGCCATAATCACAATACTACTTTTTCAAGAGGCAGACTTCCATATCACAATCACAACATGGAAACTGGGCTAAAGATTACAAAGTTATCAGCAAAGTTGCCTTTACAGTATATGTAAGTACTGTGGAAACCAGAGAAATATCATGTGAGCAAAATCTGATGAAGGGCAGTCTATAAATATTTTAAATAAAAAGCCTAAGAATTATTCTACATAATGTTCATAACAAATTATTGGACTTTACTACTCCGTACTAAATTCTGCTCCACATTGAATACTTTATTTGTAAGTGGAAATTAGCTTTCAAGGAGAGGGGCACACCATACTTTTCTTCCTACATGTAGATGTTAAGATACACTCAGTAATATTCATTATAATCTGAAGTGCTACAGCTCTAGAATTCTCAAATTCCCTCCCCCATTCTGAGCAGTCTGTCAAAAAGTTCTGTCTATGCCTGATGGTTGCTCTTGGGACTCACCTCCCCTTTTCAGTTTAAAACCTTAATTAGCTTTCAGAGCCTTTAAAGTTGAGCTGAAGGAAGCCAGACAGGCTTGCTCCTTTGAAATCTGAAGCATCTAAAGAAATTGCTTGGAAAGAGGAGCATGAAAATACACTCAGTTATGTTGACTGTAGATTACCTTAAAGGGTATATGAAGTGACACCAGAGATGGGTTAGTCTGTGTCACAGTTGGTTAACACAGGCAATGTTGATGGATCCTTTAAGGCCTTGTCTTTATACTTCCATGTTCTAGATTCCCTTTTCATTTTGGTTCTTGGTTTTGCCTGCTTCATGGAGTTTGACTAGGAATTCCTGACAAATTGAAAATAGGGAAGTCCACCATCCTACTGTGTGAGGTCTTTCTCCTCTCTTCCCAGGCAAGTCTAATTCCCAGGAAGCTAGACTGAGAAACAAGCGATAACACTGAATGATTGGAGAGAAGGGGTTTTTTGGAGCAATTAGGATATAGAAGGTGGGACTGACAAGTAAACACAGCTGCTGAGTTCCAATCCAAGACCATCAGTTGCTAATAAGGACAGCACTGGTATCTCCTGAGGGTGCAGTGGCGTCAGACCTCCTCCCATGTCCCCCCTTCAGCTTTCGGAAGGACCACACAGATTAATGGAATGTGCTGTTCCTGCTGGGCTCCTTGTTCTTTATGTAAAACAAATAAATATAAGTCAATCATTAAAAAGAGGGGGAGAAATTAATGGATTTGTACATGTCTCTGCTGTTTTTATTTAGCTACAACATTGGGTGATTATAAGGTGGAGCTTGTGTCATGGGACTCAGCTGGAATTGATCCTTGCAGGTGAAAGATATTTATGAGAGAACAATCCCATTTCAAGATGAAGCCGGTTTTGTGGGTCTTTTGAACAAAAGTAACTGAGCATTATTAGCATTTTGAGTAGGCTTCCTGGGTGGCACACCTGGCTTTAGTGAGTGCTATTTCCCTAGAAAAATTCCTTCTAGGCACAACTGCTATCATTACCCAGCATATAAATAGGAGTAAGGCACCCTAAGAAGTTCGCAGCCTAATGGCAGAGAAAGGATTGGATTGGAATGGAATTGGGACATTTTTATAGATAGGAACATTTCAAATCTAGAGAATTGTTTTCATTTATTGATAACTACCAGCCATCAAAGGAATCTGGCAACATGAGAGGAGGACAAAATTCTGGGTTAGGATAAGCAGTGTGGTTTGGGAAAATGTAAAGCCTGATTGGATGTTTCAGAAGCTCTAATACAGAAGTAGATGAAATAGTGGAAATGAAGTGGAAGCATTCTGTTGAACTGCTCTGATCATAGGGGCTTTCCTATTTTTAGATATCAGATTGCCCGAATGTTCCTGTCTCTTGGCCCATTCTACAGCAGTATCTCCAGTACTCATTAATATGTGTAATTCAACTTTCTTTTAAAAAAAAAAAATCAGTGACAAAAATTCCTGGATTCTCAGAGTCATATCAGTTACATGAAATAAGCACTTATTTTGTATATTTTATTCTGTCTTGACTAGTTATGGGGAGAAGTGAGATGCAGTTCTCACCACTGGAATTTCTACACATACCGATACTGTCATCACTTGCAAACTATTGTCAGGCACTACTGTAGAAATTCAGGCATATTGTAATATATGTCAGAAAATGTATGTATTATAACATATTCACAAATTTGGTTTTTTGCCCCTAATAAAGAATGGGTCTACTTTTGTGAGAAAGTTTGTAGCCCTGCCATTGCCTCCTTCTTAATCTCCTGTGGTGTCTTGACTAAGTCAAGCTGCATTTCTAGAAAACTATTTAGCTTCCTAATTTATTTCTTTTTTTTCCTGGCTCTTCCAGGTGAAAACAGATGAACGTATCATGAAGACAGAACAAGGCTTGCTATTCCGGAAGCTCTTTCGTCAGGATGCTGGAACTTATTACTGCAGGTCTCAGGAGCAGGGCTTCACTCAGACCGTCACCAAAATTATTTTGGAAGTGGTAGAGAGTGAGCAGCTGGAACAGATCTTCCAAAGGGAGCAGGAGGAGGAGCTGCCTCGCCCTCCTTGCCGAGTTCCCAATCTCCGCCTGCTGCATGGACAACGAATGTGGTTCAAAGACATCATGCATCTGATCGGCTATGCTAATCTGCAGAGGGTGGAGGAATACTGTGAGCGTGTGTGGTGCGGAGATCGGCCATTGTGGCACAAAGGCAAGCTCCCTAAGAGCAAGAACCTGCTGGATGGTGGCAAAAAGGGAAGAGGCAAGCAGCCCAGTGAGAGAAACCGGGTGCCCAGGCAAGCAGTAGCCACTGAAGGGGAAATAGACCCAACTCCTGGCAAAAGCAAACCCTGAATGAAAACCCACTCCTCTAAAAACTGCCCTTGTAAAGGGACTTATCCTGATGGAAGCCCCCTGCCTTTGCTGATCAACTGAGCCTACAGACATCCCTTCCTTCTGTCAAAATGCTGGAGATTTAACAAATACTAAAGTATTGTTTTTCTGTCCCATATTGACAACCCTGGTGGGAGGGGTATCACGTCTAGAAAGGTGTGGAGGTGGCCTCACTCATGAAAATAGATTGTCCATTTTGCTTGTGTGTGTTAAATGCTGCCATCTGTGAGTATCATGTCCAATATGACTGAGCCACATGACTCAGAAAAGGAGCTTTAAGGATCTAACCATGTGACTGTGAGACAATCACCAGAAATCAAGGAACAGCAACACGCATTCTTCTTACAGGACTGAGGGAAAATAGCAGGGGGCTGCTTCCAGAAAGGATATATGTAGTCTGTGCTCTGCTGGAGGTGACAAGGATCAGCTATAGATAACAAGTGACACAATCACCTATTCCCCTATACTACATGCTTGGTATGGGTGTGACCATTGAACTGTGGCTATCCTTGTACCTGGAGGTACAAAGCAATCTCTACAGTGCTTCCAGACTCATGCTTTTCCTGGTTCTGCCCAGCAGGTCAAAAGCAATGTCAATTCTTTGGGCGTGATTACATATGAGTTTTAAAGTGGCCAGCTATGTTTACAATATGATTTGACCCTAATGCTCATTTACATCTCAGTGCCTTCTCATGCCGTCTCTTTCAAATAATCAACTGTTGGATGCGAACTTAAACTTGCCAAAAGAAACTCAGGGGTGTTACGTGGGCCAGACAAAAAAGCTTATGCAGCTCCCATTACTCTCCTATCTCCTTCTCAGTTCCAGAGACAGAGCAGAGATTTCAGTGGGGAAGTGAATGGCAGAAAAGCAACCAGGCTCTTCTCTTCCTCGGCCCCTCTCTGCTGCAATTGCTCTCCTCCCAGCCCTGGCATCAAAATGCAGTTTGGTCTACCTCTTCCTGAGCTTCCTATATTTGCTTGCCATCTTATCTAGTCAAGGAAAGACTGGCTTCTGTGCACCACCTCTGTTTGTCTCATGGTTGGCTGCTTGTCTTGGGCAGTACAACCACAAATGGGACCCACCACCAGAGGCCCACATGACCATTTGCCCTAAATAAACCTTGCCTTTCGGGGACTTGTATTAATTCCTTTGGTTTAAACATTAACAGTTGAATGAAAACTAGCAGTTTGTTCAACAAATAAATTAAATCTTACATAGCAAGCTCAGACTTGGGGGCAATTTTCCTCCTGCTTCTTGGCATTTGTCAGCACAATGAATGTTCTCATGGCAAGCTGACCCCGGGATGGAGATATCTTGCTGGAACAGTTACCAGGTAGTGCATTGATTTCTACATTAATAGTCTAGAGCAAAGATTCTCAACTTTTTTTTTTTTTTTGCTCATGGCCCCTTCTGAGTGTCATTTACCTCTGTGACCCCCTTCATAGTCACTGTTAACTGGAATAATGGTACTTTACCATCTGCATTGTTTATTAATCTGAATTGTATCATGTAATATAACTGTCTTTATATCATTAAGACAAAGCATTGTAGGAGCTACCAAAATGATTAATTCTATGCAGACATAATTGTGTAATAGCAAACAAAATTCTTAAAGACATAAAAACATGAGGCCCCCTAGAAATATGGCTTGGTCCCCTGATGGGCTATATGGAGAAACATTGAGAACCACTGGTCTAGAGTACAGAAATAAAGCTCAAGCTGCTATAATGTTGTGAATTGGCTAGGAGGTATAAACTAGGTGACCAATTTCTAGATAAACTGGCTACCAGTGATCTGGTATGATACAGATACAGACCATTGTTCTTTCTGAACTCCTTCCAGATAACTTATTGCTGATGGTGCCATTTTTGGACTTGATAAACAGCACTGGAATGTTTTGCCCATTCTCCAAGAAGTATGAATCGTGGGATTCGTACGTGTACCAAAGAAAGAAAGAAAGAGAAACTGCAGGGGCACTGCATTCACTTTTCTATGAAGTGTAAATTTTAGTAATATTTGCTGGGTTTGCAAGTAAACAAAGATAGTACAATAGGAAGAAAAGAGGAACTCCTATAAAGCAGATCAACAGATAGCAACTGGGGCAACCTCCCAAGCTTGCACTCCAAATGTATGCTACATCTTGAATTTTCCATCATCATTCTGGCTTATTTTACTTCAAGGCTTAGTAAACGTTTTGGGCTGTTGGGCACATAATGGAGACAATGAATTCATCCACACATCCTTCTAACTTCTGTTATAAAGGATGTATCCTCACGATGTTGCCTTCATCACATCCCTAGCCTGCTATGAAGGGAGCTTACATTTGTCTTTATTCCAGTTTAAATGTAGGGATTTCCCTCTTCTGACACATCTTGCTGTGGACATGATCTAGGACACTGGCATGCTGATTACATTGTCAGGTTGGGATGGGCCACTTTGGGCTGGTAAAGACACACTCTTCCCATCTAGTCACTTGGCACTGCCCTTCATGGCTATTTTGGCTTGGATTGGACACTTGGCTTCCATAGAGGCAGCTTCCTTCAATGAGTGGGGGGTAAAAGCAGGGATGTCTGGAACAACTTTAAGCAGACAAGCAGAGACTGGCTCAGATGGGACATGCTGAATGGCTTTCCATCCTCTCCCAGCCTGCAAGGCCTTTGCATCTCTCTCAGGTGGCCAGAGCTGAGTGCTGCTCTTCATACTAAACATTTCAAGTTCTTGCAAAGACATATTGTGGGGTGAGGGGGAGAAGCAGTATCAGAAGGACTTCTACAAGAACTTCAGCTAAATACGTTTTTCATCTCCGACAACAGCTTGAGAAGCTTAATCTTCTGAAGAAGATTTTTAGCTGATTCCATCAAACATTTGCTCTTGATAATATGCCTGGAATAATACAAGCCCATGTTAGTTTCTTTTCACAAAGTGACCAGGGCTGCATCTTTTGATTGCTGTTCAGGCAATGAGAACAGCAGAGAAGACAAGCTACAATACCAGTGCTGGGAAGGTGGCAGGAGAAGTGAGGTGTTGATTGCCATAAGCCATCAACAGCCCTGCCACCATCTGCCATTTTTAGACAGAGTGAGAAAGCAAGCAAGAGAGTGGGAGAACAAGAGATGTTTGGGTTGTGACATTTGTCAAATGGGAAAAGCTGATGCAGGATATTTGTCCAGCCTCACAATAATTCTTTTAGGAAGCAGTTTTGGCTGGACATCTGCCCACAAGTAGCTTTAAATCCCATGGGTTCCTTTGATTTGAGTGCCCTATGGCACTCTAATTTCCAAGAATAGATAATAAAAATAAAATGGAAGACTGTGTACAGTTTCCAGTTTGTTTCCTCAAAGTTGGGGTGGGATAGCTCCCAATATACAGAAGGTTCCATCATGGGGGACTGGCACAGTCCATGAGAGAGGTCATCTCACTGAGGGAAAAGGGCTTAAAAAGTTGGCACTTTAAAGCATTTGCTTGAAAGAAACAAAAGGGACTGCCAAGTAAAAATATATTATTTCTTGATGTTCAGCAGAATGATTTGATTCCATCTGTGGACAGTGAAACTCTTCTAAAACTGACAGGCAGGTTCTGACAGATGGGTCAAGCCATTTATCAAAACTCACTTCCTTCCCAAGTTTCAGCCCTATCCCATGTTAGGAAGAGTGATTGGTGGGTCCACCTATTGCCCTTCTTAACTTGTCCCACACTAAAGCTATGAAAGTGTTACTTGCAAGCTTTGTGCTTGGCTGTCAGGGTAACACAGTTTTATACCATCATACTTTTGTGCTGACCCAAGAACTTGAGAAAAGCAGAAGGAAGAGCCTTATGTCAGGAATTATCTCATGAAATAGTTGCCATGGTGACTCTGGCTGTTCCCCTTATTCCCCACCCACCTCCCCAAGTCCTCCCTACCTACTCTGTTGCTTGTGGTTGATTTTTTCCTAACAGATAAGCACATTTCCAAATAAAGCACTAGGCTGCAACCACAAGCCGTTGTTACTTCTGAGAATGCTTATGGAACCAACATGTGGCCCACAGACATTCTTGGAAATAAAGATGATGCCATAGTTGTGCTTTGGCTATAACATGTCAGCATGAATATGTTTAATTAATCAAATGTAACAAAAGGACAGGCAGATCAGAGGGTCCGGCTGATGCTAAGGGAATAATCCATTGGCATGTTTCCTACCCTTGTTCTATTTGCTTAAGTGTACATCAAAAATATGTGGGTCTCTCTTTTGCCAGGGTGATGACATGTTCCTTAAACTCTAATGAGTGGCTCATTCAAAAAGCCCAAGAGTTCCTTCAATCATCAAGCAAACATCTTGTAAACTTTAGGTTCCACTGCTAAACCTGAATTGACCATACTGGACATTGTCCAGTTAACAAAGGAATGGACTAGGTGGAATGAATATGAATTGGAGGTTCATATGCAGATATCTAGTAGGTCTAGAGGCAGAACAGACTCTCATGGTAGGTGGGAAGGGCATGATTCTTACCACCACACATAACCAGAAAACTAATCAGAACTACTTCATAGAGTCAGTCCATCTGTTTTACCTCTGAATGCATTTTCATCACTGGGCACCGTCAACAGAATATACATATCAAATAAAATGATATATTAAATTCTCTTGGCACAAAGAACAGTCTCTTTATGTCAAGTGACCGTGGCTTCCTTTATAGGGTTTGTGCCTAACACTCTGTGCAAACACTGATTTAAAACGTTTTCTGGAGTGGTGATGGGGCAAGTAGAGCAAGACTGGTTCATATTTCCCTCTCTCTACCCCTCCTCCTTGGTAGCTCCAGCACAGCATATCCCAGCAGCCCACCCACTCCTGATCTTCTGTATGCATATCCTTCCCTCCTAATAGCTGCAGCTAATGTCCTTGGCTTTTTCTTGCTCATACCTTTTCTGAAGCACTTCTATACAGAAGAATCATGTTTTGGTCCATATCCAGAACAAACCAACTTTGCTCTATTCTTTGTATGGACCAAAACATCTGAAACGTGTGTTTTAGTTTGGATGCCAATCATCTGAAAACAACTGTTAAATTCACAGAGCAATTCATACACATAACATTTGCATAACCAACCTATGCTTCCCCTCCATTTTCCCCCATCTCTGCCCAATTTAAATCCTACATCATTCTAGCCACTCTATATATCTGATGAGGTGAGCTGCAGTTCATGAAAACTTAGGCTTTTTAATAAAAAAGAATTAGTTGGAAAAAGTGGTACCAGTCTCCTGATTTTTTGCCACCATAGACAAATATGGTTGTCTTCCTACAGTGTCTATGCCCACAGAATTACCAAATGTTTTCCAGAAAAGTGAAAATGTCTTTATCCAAGTGAATTTCAAAAGAATGGAGGAAGAAGGACAAGTAATAATTCATCCTGGAAATAGACTAGTGCTATCATAGAAGAAAGCAGTTCAACAGATAATGAGTTCACCTTGTTCCAATTAAGCAGTCTTGGGTGTTTCATGAAGAAAGAATAGGCTGAAAATAACAGAAGTCGTCATTCAACACAGTTGGAGGCCAATACGTTGGGAATGTCTAAAATAGGTAAATACCCCTTATCGTAGGATAATACTGTCACTTTATATACTTAGTCCCAGTAAATCACTGTCAACACTTTTTGGTACAACAAGAATAATGGTGGTCTTTTAAGTTACTCTTGTATTGAAAAGATCTTTCAGAATCTGACTGGAAGATTTGCACCAACTTTTCCTGCTGAAAAGACCCATTAAAAGGGTAGGAGGGAAAGCAGGGGAAGGAATCTGTCAATTTAGCCCAGGGACTAGTTCATTTTTGTGAATTGCAGTTTTGCTACATTGGGATATTTTGTAAAAAAAAAAAAAAGACTCAGAGTTGCGATTATGATGTACTGATTGAAAGCAATTAAACAGGCTACACCAAGATGGTTTGATTTTAAAAAAAATGATTGTAGTAAAGAGGATATGGGAAAACAATAAGAGGAAAACTTAAGAGGGAGAGGCTGAGGAACATGAGAGAAAACAACAATGGATAAATCCATGATTCCACTATATCCCTCTTCAGCAAATGAGCCAATGTATTTCTAGTTCAGTGGTGGTATATTTGAAACCACGGCAAAGGTAGTTTATTTTTTGAAATGCTACTGCTCTCCCCCCCCCCCCCAAATTTGGAGAAATTCTTGCCTCATCCTGCCTTTCAGTTCTTGGTCTGTACCTGTATTATTAGGTCTTTCAAGGAAAAGGGTATTTAATTGCTTTTCAGATCCCTCCTAATAGAAGCCACTTCATCATGATGATAATGATGATGAATTTTTGGTAGATACATAGAAAAATGCAACAGGAAATATAGATTGGGGGTGGGGGAGAAGTAATTTATTTTGCTTCCATTTCTCATTGACTGAGAGTGGGCAGTTGTTTTGTAGAACCTGGCCAAATCGCTCATTTTCAGTTCTGGTTATAAGTATTTCTGTTGGCTGAAGAGAAGACAGTTATGGGGTGTCTTCAAACAGCTTTTGAAAGATGGGGAGGCACAAAAAAGTGGTACTGTGTAAGGGAATATGTCAATGAGTAAGGGGAAAAAATGGTCCTCTGATGATACAAAGGTTTTCTAATGTAGCTTCTATTCAACATCAAGCAATCAAGCTGTTCCTCTACCTGATAGTGTTTGGATCTGGAATCAGACTTGATTTGTCACGTGTATCCAGGGCTGAAAAGAAAGTCTCTGAGAATGGTGGCTTTCTGCTATGGCTGAAT